AGCTTTGTTCGGGTATTTTCCCACGTCATTGTAGTTGTGCTTTTAAAGTTGTAGTGGTTGACTTAAATTCTCAGGACCTACCGACCACATGAAGTGAAAGACAAATCCAAACACATGTTCCAATATGTAGTAAAAAGGAAAGATATACCCATATGAACCCCAGTTTTTGGTGATGATTTTAATAACATTTTGTTTTGACTTTCACCACCCTCTGAAATAGTCAGGAGAGGCCTTTTTTCATTGTGCGGACTTGGCTCTGAAATCATTTCAGAGATGTTCACCCGGTCTCTTACTACTAGCTTTTGAGATAGTCAATTTTATCTCGGCAAGGTATTTCAAGATCTGGAATCACTGAACCTTGTAATGACATGTTTATTAGTTCACAATGGTATCCGCAGCTGCTATGATGTTTGTCAGAATAACAAAAGCAACATTGTGCTGCAAGCTCCATCCCTTTTGCAGGTACATGCAACTTCATGACATATAGAAAAGGGCTGGTGTTTGCATTAGGACATCAAAATGCTGTTTTATTATGGTCTCCTACCTCCTTTATTTTCCATCTCCAGAAGAAAATAAAGTATTCTTTTTATGACATTGAGTAAGAACCAGCTGAAAAAAACAGGATAATTTTTCTGCACAGATTTAACATTTGTGGGATCTGTAGTTATTATCCCCAAATTTATACATACCTGCCAGGGCTCAAACTCATCTATGGTGGCACATTTTGGCTCAGCAGTAAAGGGGCCAGACTCAGTTTCACACAGGCGCAATTTGTCGAGGCCATAAGCAACAGCATAAACTGCTTTGTAGACATTATATGTTATTCTAAGTTCTGAAACATCCAAATATGTATTGTTAAGGTCTTCAAGTTTCTCCTTTCCAGTGCATAACTTATCTGAAGAAAAATCGACAATGTTCTCGTGACCAGTTACATTTTTCCGGTTGTCTGTATTATATGATATGTTGACACCAGGCCAGGTACAGTTGAATGCTGACTGCCAAAATTCGATTGTCATATCATTGGAATCCTTATTTGGGTCTACTTTTAGAAGAAAGTCCCGAAAGCCTGGAATTTCACCCCTTCGTATCCCAAAGCCAATTGCCCCACCAAGAAGTGGAAAATATTCAGGTCTAGCAATTAAGGCAGAAGTGACCCATGCCTCACTTGCTATCCACGTTTTGCCAGTAATATTACTAATCAAAAGCTCTTCAACTAGCGGATGGAAGTCAATATCAGAAGAGTAAACCACAATAACTGTAGCATTGGTGCCTTTTACAATTTCAACAACTGCTTTGATCTTCTCCCTGTTATATATTTTAGGAATTGTTTCTGAGAAGGCAATGCAGGTATAGAGGTTCTCAACAGCTTCTTTAAAAGCTTTGACACCATATTTCCCATAATCATCATCGGCAGCAATGGTTCCAATCCATCTCCAACCAAAATGGTGAATTAAATCAGCCATCCCCCGTGACTGTACCTTATCGCTTGGAATAGTACGGAGATAAGTTGGGAACTGATATTTATCAGTGAGAAGTGAGGAAGAAGAAGCATAACCAACCTAAGAAAGGGATAAAGAGAAAGAATAAACAGATTGCACAAGCTATCATATGTGATCTCAAGGGCTAGGAGTTATTGGGTTAGATTCTTAGCACACTTAATTCTATCAACCCATCTTCCATGGAAAGACTTCCTTTTCTAGAAATCCTTAGCTTAGGAATCAGTTCAGCATTTCTACTGAAAAAAATCAGGTGAAAAAGTGCAGGAAATATGATACTATGCCCAAGTTCCTAGAAAAACAATAATTAAGTCCATTTAAGTCTAAATGGACAAAAAAGTTGGATTAACTACAAGTCTGCTTCTTACAGACTGTTTTCCTATGCTTTGTTAAGTGGGTCAACAAATATATCAGAGGGTGCAGGAGCAGGGTATAGATAAATCAGCAACTATTTAAGTGAGTGGCAGGCATGTATGCACGCCACTCGTGCAAACGGAGCTGTGCATGATGCATGGTGTTTGCTCCCAGTTAAATCTGTCTTTCTTACTAAGGACAAAATGATGGCAATATCATGGAGAACATGAGAGTAAAATATGTTGCCAGGATATACTTGCACCATAGTTAATTACACATGGGGAAACAGTTTTGATAGCTTTCAGATATAGATACATCTGAATTATATCAGATACTAGCTGGATACCTGGGCTTTGCAATGAAACTATGTGATCGGGCTACGCAGGAGAAATTTGGTTCACAATCCATTGGCTTGGTAGTGGTCAGTGACTGAAAGGGTTTTCTCCTTTCCTTTCCTTTCCTTTCCTTTTCCCTTTTTCCTTTCTTTTTTCCTTTCCTTTCCTTTTTCCTTTCCTTTTTCCTTTCCCTTTCCCTTTCCCTTTCCCTTTCCCTTCCCTTCCCTTCCCTTCCTTTACTTTCTCCTTTCTTCTTTCCATTCCTTTCCACCTATCCATCATCTATCTGTCTGTCTGTCTGCCTGCTTGCCTATCTATCTATCTATCTATCTATCTATCTATC